CGCCCCGGGATTTCTGCAGATTGGATGCAAACCAACAGTGGCAGGGACATTCTCGAGAGATTTCCAGAGGCAAGGATGGGAGTGGGTTGCATGTCTTAAAAAACAAACAAACAAACAAAAAAAACCAGTTTAACAAACCCAATCCCAACTGCACCCAAACCATCCAGCTGAGAAAGCAAAAAGAATCCAAACAAAACCCACACAGGCCTGAGAATTCATTGGCCGCCCACACCCCCACCGCCCCTCCCCCTCAGCTGCTGCTACACACACAGTGGGAGATTAAGGGATCACCAGAGGAGACCCTTTATTTTTATCCAATCCCATCAAACACTTCACCTCTACCACACACACACACACACACACACACACAAGGTACCTTGACAGCAGCCCCTTGCCCCCACGGCCCGGCTCCTTCACCAGCCTTTATTTCCACCTGCAAAAGAAGCCGGAGAGACTGATGAGCCAGGCTGACACCAGGAAAGCAGCAAAGTCCTTCTGCTGCACCCCCAGCACCGCTTCAGGGAAACGGGGAGAAGGGGAGGCAGGGGGCCTCGGAAAGAAAGGATAGCAGGGACCATCTTCCTGCCTCCAGCTGCCACCCAGACGCGCGGTGGAAGGGCTCATTCGCCTTCCAGAGTGTTTTTGTTTTCATTTCTCCTTTTTCCACCCTCCCAAGATCCAGGAGGGCTCTGGTCTGCCCCTCCTCCTGCGTCCGGTCTAGCCTCGTCCCTCCCCGCCCTGCCCGCTCTACCTCGGCCGGCCTCCTCTGGTGCATCGGCCGGCGGGCCTCCCATTATCCCCGCCGGAGCGCACGGAGGGAGGCACTGCAGAGGCGGCGGCGGCCAGCTGCCGGCTTGGCTCCCCTCCCCGCCGCCGGCGAGGCTGGTGTGGAGCGGGCGGCGCGCTCGCCAGCCAATCCCCGCCGCCGGCCGAGCGGGGGCAGGGCCGCCGGGGGTTGGACCTGCCCAGCCGGGAGGCGGGGGCACAGCCAAGGGTGCCGGAGCCTAGCTGGCTGTGGCCCAGGCCCGCCGCCGCTCCCCGACAGGCGGGGGATCCCGGGACACCCTCAACAACTCCCGAGTCGGGGACCAGAAGGTAATACTCAGAGGCATCCTCTGCATCTACAGGGTCAAAGGCAGACTGCGTCGGGGTCGAGCAGATGCTGGCAGGCTTCCCCCTCAGGCCACTCTCTAGCCCTAGGACACCAGCAAACTGCCTCATCCTAGCAGCAGCTAGGACAGTGCTAGGCGCTATAAAAGCAATAGCCCCTGCAATCTTAGAAGAAAAAAGTAAAGCCTTGGCAGTATGAACCTTTACCCCATTTTGTAGATGAGGAAACAAGGCAAGACAAGTGAAGTAACTTACCCAAGGTGACACAGCTAGAAAACAGCAGCACTGGGACTCCAAGGCAGGTCTATCCGGCTCTACAGACCAGACTCTCAACCATTATGCAGTCCTACTCCTCCCTCCATCCAGCAGATTTCCTCTTGAAGCCAACATTGCCTGTGGCTCAAAGCCTCACCAAGTCAGACTTGCCCTCCCTTGCACACGAACACCACCTCACCCTAGGAATACTCATCCCTGGTGCCTGAACATAGGCCACCCCCTCCAGACAGCCTCACCACCACCGCCACCCTCAGTGTTTCCTCCTCTTTTAGAAAGGCCACAGGAGGAGGCGCCTCCAGACTTCAGGACTTCCCATCCCCTGGAAAGGCTGAGGAGGGGAGGCAGCCCAGACTCTGAGCCTTTGAAGGCTGCAACACCCAGGAGACTGAAGGAGAAAGAACAGAATGGGGAGAGGAAAGCCCTGCAGTTCCTAGGCAACCCAGGAGACATCCTGCTTCACCCCATCCCCTCCCTGTAGCTGAACACCCCAGAGCTTCTGTCTTCTAGGAGGGGGACCCTTATATGGTCTCTGGTACTCATGTATCTGGTTCAGTTTCCTGGCTCCACTATCTAGCTGCAGGACCTTGGTGGTGGTACCTTGCCTCCCTTAGCCTACTTTGCAGTTCTATTTTACAGAAGCAGCCACCTCATACAAAGGTGTGAGGATTCTGTGAAAAAATGCAACACAGTGCCTGCCACACTGCAGGCGCTGCTAGCTACCGCTCAATTTCTGAGAGAGCTCATTGTGTGCTACTTTTCAACTCACAGATGTGACTTGTAGGACTAGTTAGGATGTGTGAGAGCTCATTTCAGTGATGTGCTCTGCTACCAACTCCATCACACCTGCCCAATTACTGCCCCCTCCCTGAAGCTCCAAGGGGGTACTCAGAATGGGACAAGCTGCCTCATGAGAGACAGCAAAGCTGGGCTCTGGTGAGGAGACTCCAGAAGGCACCAGGACGCACCCCTGCCTCACCTCTGGGGGCAAAGAGCAGCCCTACTGGGCTCCTCCCTAGGGCAGGGAGGAAGGCAGGTGACAAGGCAGGGCAAGGAGCATTGTCCTGAGCCATGGGCTTCTGCACCCCTTGGCTCTTACCTTGGCCAGGCCAAGTGAAGTCTCTCCTTTATCCTAGTCCCCAAAAGCCTGCCCCACCCACCCTCATACAGTCTGCTGCTGGAAAAGAGCAACTAACCCTGCTTGGACAGTAACAATCAATACTGTTGCTGCTGTGGCTGCCACAGTTTATCAGGCCCCTGCTAGGTACCAGGCCCCATGCCAACCATGCTGTGGGAGCATCTCATTTGACTCAGTCCACACACACAACCTTCTGGGAAAATGGGCTTAGAGATGTTGTTACTGGCCCATCAACACACAGCTGGTGAGTGGTGAGCTAGAATTCCAACCCAGGTGTTTCTCATTCCAGTTCTTTAAGCCCCTCTCTCCCAGCCAACCTCAGGGAAGCTTAAAGAGGGATAGGGTCTCTTGAACCAGACCACTTCCCTTTAAGCTACGGGTCTAAGAACAGTAATATTTTCAGGCCTCAGAGACTTGGAGATGCTGCTCCTTGCCTAGGTTCCCTTCCCTCTCCCCCACCTGGCAAGCTAATATGGTACAAGGCTTAATCCAAATGTCACCTGCCACTGCTACCTTCCCAGCTCATCTAGCCCTCAGGAGCTTCACCCACTCCTCCTGGGGCCTCCTCTAGAGCCGTCACTACCAAGTGCAGTTATTTATTTACACGGCCGTCTTCCCCACGTGGGCAGGGGCCCGGTCTTCCCCACTCACTAGGCTCTGCACAGAGCTGGAATGTGCTGAGCTGAGTTTCTACACAAGGAGGGTGGAGAGGCAGGGGGTTGGGCACTGAGATGTAGAGGACACTCTCCTGGTCGGCCTGTTCTCTGAGGTCCCCAGGGATCAGAGGAATACTTGCTCTCCTGGGAGGGCACGACCTGCCATCTGAACTATAGCCGAGGCCGAGCCTTGTTCAGCCAGCACACGTCTTCCTCACAAGGCTGCAAGAGCCACCCTGACTCTCTGCTTGAACCGGCTCACCACCACCCCCCGCAGCCTGCAGACACCCTAGCAGAGCCCGTGGTCCCCAAGGCAGGGCACCTGCAACCATCTCTATCCCACCCTGGCCTCCTGGCCTCCTGCCCCTTTCTGAAGCACCTGGAATGCTACAGCTCCAAGGAGACACAGAGGCGCATGCCGGGGCCACTCTGCCTCCAGTGGGGACATTCTCCACACCTCACACCTGACCCCCTCCCCTATCTGCCCCTCTTTCTACACTTGGGCCTTCACAGTGACCAACCCAGAGGTGCCTGGGACCCCTCTGCATAGGAGCTGGAGGTCCCTCCTCACCTTCCATCATGACCCCTAGACCCCACTGCACTCCCAGCAGGAGGAATGGGGCCACGGCCCTCCCCACTAGGGAGAGGTGAACGGATTAACTCACTCTCAGAACCCACAAAATATCCCAACACAGAGAACCTCAGAAGCACAGTTACCTACAGGCCAGAACCCACACAGATATACAAAGACTAGGAAATGGGGATGCATCCAGAGATAGATTCGGGGGGGTTTATAGGAGGATCAACCAAGCAGCAACGCCATGCCAAGCCCCATTACTGGACCATGATGTACTGTATCTTATTTAACCCTCAAAACAAACCAATGAGACAGGAATTATTAATGCCCATTCTACAGACTGAAAAGTTGGGAGACTGAGCAGGGCTCTCGCCTCCCCACCCCCGACTCGTAGCAATACAGTTGGTGCTGCTCTGTGTAGCTCTATGATTTTCTTATCAACCTACCTTTTCTAGAGTTGGCAGGGGGTAGATGACAACTTCTCCTCTCTTGCCATGGCTGTGTCCTAAAGGAGGTCACTCCCCACAGGGCTTTACTTCAAAGCTCAGTTCAAGCCCCACTTCCTCCAGGAAGCCTTCTCAGGTTACCCTAGACCTCTGCCAGCTGACAGCACTTCCAATGTTTCTCATTTGACACTTGGTACTGCTATCCGTCTCTGTGTGTCCTGCCTCTCCAACCAGAATGGCTAGAGTCGTGCCTCTTCAAAGCCCCGGGGTTTTTTTTGTTTTGTTTTGTTTGCCCAGCATTCCCCACACTGAAGGCACTTGGAATCCACTGTGGGGGAAATCTGTGACCTTCCCTTCCCTCTCCATCACACAAAGGATCTGCCAAAGAAACCCAACATCCTCTCCACCTTCAGAACCTATGTTTGAAGTCACCGGTGTCCACACATCAATTTCCACCCAAGTAATTGCAGCCCATCACACACACATCATCCCCTATATTTCAAACTCTTTGCAGTTGTCATGGGAACTGCCTTTGCCTTCATTCACAGATCAGGCCTCACAATTAGCTTTGGCAGCGGAAGTCTGTATCAACGGCAATCTCGGGGAGGAGAAAGACAAGGAGGTGAAAGAACAGCAGCAAAGGAAGAAAAGGTGCTCCTCCTTGGAGATGCAATAGAACCAGACTGAACTCAGGCACCCAGTGATGTCAGAGGGAAAACAGAGCCAGCCAGCAACTCCACCTGCATATTTCCATACCAACAAACAGAATGCACCCAGACCCCCCCCAGGCTGACAAGCAGCAGCTGTGGCTCTGCCCACACCCCACAAGCCATCCTAAATGCTTGTAAGAAGGTCTTATATTCTATGAACCACATCACGGTCTCCCCACCCCAAATTCAATAGCCTTGGACCACCAAATGTTCCAGGATCCAAGCAAATAACACAGAACCTTCATTGAGAAGGTGAGACAGGAATACTGAGTGGTTTAGAAACCTGGGGGCAGCCCCAGGGGAAGACTTCCAAGAATAATTAACACAAAGCATCTTACCTTCCACCTTGAGGATCCATGAACACCCTCAGCTGGTGCCCTGTGGTCTGTCTGAGTCCTTCCACACCACTGCCACCAGCCGTGAGCATTCGAGTGGCATCTCTGCACAGCTCAGTTTCAGGGGAGATGCCTCCCTCCTCCTAGAAGTACCCCCTCCTCATCTTTCACATATCACTACGCTGAAA